TAGAAAATGGTCTAACGGATTACTAGGTAGTCGAAATCATGTAATTAATGAAATGCAAAAGAGAAGAAGTTGAGAGGGGTGTTAAACCTTTTCTCCATGACAACGATTGCGTGTCTATAATACAATATAAGGGGTATAAAAAGTGATTTTTATATATAACCACAACACAATGTCAGTCTCGTTTCAAAATGAGATTTGTGATATCGTTAAGATTAATATGAGCTCAGAAACATATATAACTACTATTAACAGTACATTTATTAAAAAAACTCAAAATATCACTAAAATCATTATTATATTCTTGCATTTTTACATCATAATAAATCAAGTTAATAAATAGCAAGTTTCAATAGGATTTAAAAATTTAACTATACATAAGATTGTTTTTTCGTTAATATAATGTGTTGGCTTATGTTTTGATTCAGATGTCGTCAAAAATATTTTCAAAATATTCACGAAAAACATGGTATTCTAATTTTTAAATGCTTCATAATCAAGAATACAAAAATTAACTAAATTGTTACTTACAAGGATTATTTTCTACTGTTTTTTTAAATAGTATTTATTTATTTATTTTTACTTCCTTTACATATTTTATATCTTTGAATGAATTATAAATAATAAATAATCACTGAGCATAGAGTACAGGAATTAATTAAAATTAACTTCACATTTAAATAAATTAAAAACTAAAATAAACACAACTAAGCTTAATTTTATACAAGAAAATAAAATAATATATAAATTAAGCTATAATTATGCAAATGAAATTTCAAATTATGGATACTATGATAAAAAAAAAAATCAAACTTTCAGCCGCTAAAGATTTTAATGTTTGGTCAACTTTGTTAGTTTTATAGACCAACATATGTAAAAATCTATTTTGTATTCACTCTAATCTTTATATAAGATAACTTTGATGTGGATTCCCCATTATTCAATCGTTGGGTTTTATTATTGAATGCGCTGTCGTTAAAAACTTAAATGGGTATAATCTTTTAGGTAATAGTTTTCTACACAAATATAAGGCTAATATTGATATGTATGATTCGAAAATTATTTTATTTGACGGACCACACAGGGTGACCGTACTCTTCGAAAAATTCAGTTCTAGCAATGTCGCAAATCATATTCTTTCACACAAAAATTCTACCAATGTTTCCATTGAGTCCACAGCGCGTATGCAGGTTTCAAAAAATATCCCACGAGACGGCTTTTGCGGCGTAAATACATTAGTAGAGGTGTTGAAAAATAAATATATTAATGTTAATTTTCATGATATTCAAGTATTACTAGGCGTAGATTCTGCAAGTCAGCCTGTCTGGCTTGAGGTAGAAGATCTAGCAGCCGTCGCGTCTTATTACAATAAAAATTTAATTGTGCTTTCCCAAGATAACAATCGTTCCGACGTAAATGTTATCGCATTCACAGAATTCGATCGAGATAACGTGTTTGTTTTATTTTCCCACTGTCATTGGTCTCCATTAGAATACGTAAAAAATTCTAGTGTTAATTTTAATATTAAAACAATTGTGCATATTAATGACAATATTTCAGTCGCCGACAGGCGTAAAATTCTGAACTCCAGACAAAAAAATTATGATTTTACCGAACACTTCAAACAAAATGATGCGTCAACACCAGACGTACACTTCGAATCTTAGGTTAACGAAACATGTTTCGCGGAAAAAGAAACATCTTCTCTAGCAGACTTTTCACAAAAGGTCGAATTCGATATTAACCCGTCTTTATCTCATGATAAAAAACAAAAACTTGAAACGTTGCTGAATAATTATAATGAAATTTTTTCAAAGACTAAATTCGACTTGGGCGAGGTAAAATTACCTGATATTGAATTAAAATTAAATCGGGATCAAATAATAAATTTACCGAATTTCAAGTTAAACGTTAAAAAACGGGCCGAGGTAGAAAAACAAACTAACGAATTATTAAAGGCCGACATAATAGAACTGTCAAATAGTCCATATAGTAATCCGGTATTTTTAGTAGGTAAAAATCTCCCACAGGGTGACAAAAAAGGGGCCACCCCTAAGGAGTATCGCATGGTTTTAGATTATAGAAAATTAAATTCGATTTTATTAAAAGAAAGTTTTCCCATGCCGATAATTCAAAATATATATGACTGCTTAGCTGGTAACCACTATTTTTCATTATTAGACGCGTCCAGTGGTTTTTATCAATTCAAACTATCTAAAAATTCTCGACAATATACAGCTTTTTCTACTGATACGGGACATTTTCAATTCAAAAGACTTCCAATGGGACTTAATAATGCTCCAGCAATATATCAGGCCGCTATGTGCAAAATTATGGGAGGTCTTACTTATAAAAATAATATTTGCTACTTAGATGATTGCACAGTTTTTGGAAAATCTTTCGATCAATATTTATATTCATTAGACATAACATTACAAAGATTTAGACAGTATAATCTAAAATTGAAGCCATCAAAATGTAAATTCGGATACGAGGAAATACAAGTACTCGGTAATATCATAAATTCGAAAGGCATTAGGCCAACCGATGAGGGCATAAATCGGTAAAAAAAATTCCCTTCCCCTAACACTATTAAACAAATTCGTAGTTTTTTAGGACTTGCCAATTATTTCAGAAAATTTATTCCTAACTTTAGTAAACTGGCAAAACCTCTTACAGATCTCACTAAGGGTAAATTTAAAACAAAAAATGAAAAAATTAAATGGTTAACTGAACATGAAACAGCATTTAAAGAGCTAAAGTCTAAACTTACGACACCTCCACTCCTCGCGCATTTTAACGTAAATTTGGAAACTATACTAGTAACAGATGCTAGTAAATTAGGTCTAGGTGTTATACTTCAACAACGTGACGATAATAACGAAATTCATCCAATCTCTTACGCGTCTAAAAAGTTAACGCCCGCCGAGTCCAATTATTCCGCAATGGAACTCGAGGTTTTAGCTATTAATTTCGCGTTTACCCATTATAGGCAATATGTTCAGGGTAGGAAAATTGAGGTTTGGACTGATCATAAAAACTTGACAAGTTTTATGAACTTAAAAACTGAATCTAACGTTGTAAACAGGATACGAACGAAATTAATGGGCTATGATTTTGAGGTAAAATATAAAAAAGGTATTTTTAATAGGGCCGCGGATCATCTATCGCGTTATCCCAGTTCAAGTGAACTAATTAATATTTTAAATTCGAATATTAAAAATGATATTTTTAAAATAAATCTTGTTCAACCTATTAATATTGCTGTAGAACAAGCAAACGATGCGTACTTGCATAACATTATAGGTGCTATTAAAAACCCTATCTCATCAAATTCGTTTTATTTAAATAAGGCCGACAATTATGAAATAAAAGATAATGATATATTGTATTACAAAACGAAAATTAGACAAATCCCTGTATACGCACTTGCTTTACCTTCAAAATTTATTAAACAGGTAATAATTGATAATCATGATAGTTTATTAAGCGGGCATATCAGTTTTTCAAAAACACTAAACAAAATTAGGAGTAAATATTACTGGCCAAAAATGAGAAAAGATATAAAGTCATATGTTCTGTCATGTGAAAGGTGTCAAAAGAGGAAACCATATAAACAAAGTAAGCCACCGAAAGTAGGGAGATACGATTTAGACAAGTGTGAGATTATGAGTGAAATAATTATTGACTATGTTGGTCCCCTTCCAAAGTCGAAATCTTATAAGTATATTTTAGTAGCTACTGATCGTTTATCAAAATTTTGCGTAGCTCAACCATTTACAAATGCCAATGCGCGTAGTATCAACAAATTTCTTTTAGACTTATTCTTAAGATTTGGTCCAGCTAGGATAATTAGGTCAGATAATGGAACTCATTTTACGTCAANTATATATTTTAGTAGCTACTGATCGTTTATCAAAATTTTGCGTAGTTCAACCATTTACAAATGCCAATGCGCGTAGTACCAACAAATTTCTTTTAGACTTATTCTTAAGATTTGGTCCAGCTAGGATAANATTTTAGATTTATTCTTAAGATTTGGTCCAGCTAGGATAATTAGGTCAGATAATGGAACTCATTTTACGTCAAAGACAGTTTTAGACCTAATGGACGCTTTTGGGGTAGACAAAAAATTCGGAATTCCGTATAAGCCTACTTCACAAGGTCAGGTGGAGAGGCAAAATCAAACAGTTATAGACATGATATCACATTACGTTCAGGATAACAATAAGTAGGTAGATTATTTACCGTACGTTGTATACGCCTATAATACTTCAATACATTCGGTTACAAATTATACGCCATTTTATTTAGTTCACGGCTATAATCCTAAAAGCATGTTTGATATTGCACTAATTCCCCCTTCCGATGGGAACGTTATCGATGAAATTAATAAAATCAAACATATTAGAAAATCATTACCCCAATTATTAGAGAAACAATCCGAACAAACTAAACAAAAGCTATTATCATTGAATAATTTTCAATCGTTTAAAGCGGGAGACAAAGTCTTAGTTAAAGTCCCGGTAAAAGGTAATAAATTTTCAGATAGGTATGAAGGCCCTTATGTTATTTTAAAGAAAATAGGTCCATATAGTTTTTTGATAAATCTGCCAAAAAACAATATTTTGGTCGAGTCGCCTGTTCACGTAGACCAGTTAAAACCTTTCGTTTCTAGAATATAAAATCCATTCAAATCTCGGCCCGGGGCTAGCACTAAAATAGTAAAATATGTATAGTAATGAGATGACAATATAATAACAATTTAACAATTTTCCAAAAATATAAGAATTATAAGGTGTATAATAATCATTGTCGATATTATTACTTTTTTTTATTTTTGCTGACATAAATTATAGGCAAGGTCAGTGTAATAACGCACCCGAAAAATTGATCTTATTGCGACAACGGTGCTCTTCGCTTCTTAAGACCCAACGAATATTATTATATTGTGCTGTTTCAACTCTTAAAAATTCTTAAAAATTTGATTATAATTTATTTTTGTTCTAATATGTTCGAATTTGTTTAATCCAAGATGGTTTAAGGGTAAAATGCTATATTAAAGTACACTATTTATATTAAATACGCTTACCTACCACTTAATAATAATTATGACTCTAGAAAATTTTTTNATACGCTTACCTACCACATAATAATAATTATGACTCTAGAAAAATTTTTTTTGTTATTGCTATTGACAATAATTCTTTACCCCAGTGGCGACTGTAGAGAATATTCAATAAATCTGATTAATTACCTAGGTTACATTTAAAAAATCTAGACACTCTTCAATTTTAAAATTACCCCCTGTCAAATACAAGGATTAGTATGAATAATCGTGTTACTCTTATATACTAATTACTTATATATAATCGTATATCCTACAAATTGCTTAAACTACTTAAATTAAAATCCATTAATTATTCATTCAAATGAAGTCATTCTTTGAGGTTCATTCGACGGGTCATCTTAATCAATAATTCTATCGAAGACTTCTTCGCTGTCACAGGATCTCTCTACTTTGAATTACGATCTACATCTCGATCATTCTCCCTGTAAAATATAGTTTTATAAATATTAATATATTTTGAATAAAATATGATTATTGTAGACTTACTCCTGTATAACTATTTAGTTCAATATTTTAAAACCAAATTTCCCTTGTTTATCCTTGAATCAGATAATCAAGTAGTCGAATAACTAGGTCAATTATTAATTTCTATAGTGTATACGTTGCATTCACCTGATTGCAATTTTGCCANTGCATTTACCTGATTGCCATTTTGCCATCTCGCCATTTTTTATAGCCATTCATAGCCAGTCACCACTAACGCCACAGCCACGGTCAATGTCACGACCATTACCATGACTTTTGTCATTTTACTTTGAGCCACAGTCCCTTTTAATAGAACATCCAAACCACGACTTCAACATCTTCGTATAATTTCGTATGTANGCCTTAACATCTTCGTGTAATTTCGTATCTAGCGACTTGATCACCGAGACATCAAATTATCACGATTCGTGCATATTTATGTTCTATCCTCCCTTTGGTGACGACCATTGGATGAGTAATTTCTAGCTAGAAAAATAAGTCCTTATTACTATTGCTATTGAAATATATAGTATTGTTATATTATTATTATTATATTATTATTTTGGGGCCCCAGCCACATTACAGCATTGTCTGTTATTTATTATATTTTAATTATACTCGGCAAAGTCCGATTTATTATATTGTAGCATATGTTTATTTATATGCGGCAAGTCCGATTTAATTATTATTTTGTGGCATACTTATATACTTATATGTATACTATTATTTATATTCGGCAAGTCCGATTTACTATATTGTGGAATATTTTTACTTAAATTCGGCAAAGTCCGACTTAGTTCATTAGAACATTATTATATATTATTTTATTCGGTATAACCGATTTTGTGGCATATTTATATTACTGTTATTTTCGGTAAATCTGATAATTTGATTTTGGCATATATTTTATTATTATTTTCGGCCAGTCCGATACATTACGTTATGGCATATTTGAATTATTTTATTTGAAAATTATGGCTTACTTATAATGTTAATTTTAATTAACTATTTTCTTTGATACTTATGGCTTATTATTATTATTCCGTTCGACTAGATCGACATATTTTTATAATGGCATAATTTTATTCTAATTAACAAACAATGTTATAATATAACTTTTATTATTTCGATCGGCTTAGCTCGACTTTCCTTTATTTATTATATATTATAAAATTACTTTTATTCAATACTATAAGGTGATATAAAATGCACGATACACGAGGTTTAAGAAAATTTACTTCTAAATAATCTATTTTGAAAAATAAATAGTATCGAATTTTATGAAATTGGGTTATAAAGAAAATTTGTGGCAAATAAAACCCTTAATTATTATTATTATTAAATTTAAAAAAATATTTTATTATGGTACTTACCAAGTATAATTTCCAACATAACACTCCAGGCATCTTCAGTCCAAATAGGTCAAACATAAAATGAACAACACTATACAGTCAACAGTCGCCACATCCCCACATAATCCCCTATAATCTTACGTGACAAATTTGAATAACGGACTCTATTCATATGTTTACAACAATAAATCCTTTTGTTAACATATTATGACCTTATTGAACAGCCATTAATTATAATTACAACTAATACTAATAGAGCTAGCCCCCCGCAGGGGAATCCGCAAGGATTACGGGCCTAACAACCCCGCGGACCCTAGTTATTTCAGTGGGGGTGGCAACACGTACCACTGCTCTTAGCCGGTCATGACTTTGGTTAGTTGGGACTGGTAGGCCTGGGCATACCTGCTTGCTAACAGCGAATAGGCCCCCCTAACCCAGCCATACCAAGTGAAAGGGTTGCTAACTTGTCACAGGGTAGTTAGCCGAAAGGTAAAGTGACCATTGGGATCCTCTATGGCACCTGGCGCACCATAGAGTATACAGCCTTATCACAGTATCGAGCTCTGCTGTGACGGACCTTTATTTCTCGACTTCTCGTGGGAACTATATGGACAAAAACATAGAAAAACCACAAAACAACGAACTTGTGACGATCAGGGATCCTACGGACAACCTGTCGGAACAAGATCGTGAACTGGCGACTCTTCGCAGAAGAATCGCCGAACTTGAAGGTCTCAATGCCAACAACGGGACACTTGGTGAACCGTCTACTAGCAAAGAGACAGCAACGTCAGAAAATGCAGACCAGGAATCGCAAGATCAACTGGGAGCAGTAGCTGACAAAATCGAAGGTCTAAAACTTAGACCTGAGAAATTGAGCGACAGTCAGAGGCGCAAGCTGAAGAGGAGCCGAGCAAGCATGGAGGGGCAGAAGAACCTACCAAAGGAGGGAGACAAGGGAACCGATGACTTGAAAAAGTCAAAGGGAACCGAAGCTCAAAAACCTGAGGACAAGGGGCAAGAACCTCCATGTAAGAAAACTCATTGGGTACCGACCTACAGGGACGTGGTAACCGATGATAAAAAAGTGGCTCTGGTCCTCGCAGGCTACCCCACTAACAAGTTGACCACAGAGCAGGGGCTACTCATTGAGTCTTGTGTTGGAGACTTGATACTGTCGGGTACTGATGGAACCGACGTACCAAGGTTTGAAGACACCAGACTCACTGATGGAGCACTTGTGATCAGTGCAGCCCAAGAGAGCTCTCTTAAGTGGCTCACTGACCATGTCAACTTGATAAAACCTTGGGACGGTGCAGAACTCCATTTGGAAGCCTACAACCCGATCAAGTATAAACGGATGGTCACTCACATACCAGGGCTGCCAAAAGATTCCAAGAAGATCATGGAAATTTTGGCAAAACAAAACCCAGGGCTGAACACGGCGATCTGGAAAGTCCACCATGAGACAGAGGTTGGCCCGAAAGGACAAACTCTGTTTCTAAGTGTGGACGAAAACAGCATGGTCAAACTGGAGGAACTGAAGCGCAGTCCATATTTTGGAATGGGCAGAGTTTGCTTCACAGATTATGTTGCCAAGCAGCCACCAGCCCGGAAGGATGTGAAAAAATCCACACCTCAAAAATCTGGGAAGAGGAAGGCTGAGGAATCACCAGTGCCACTCGGGAAAGGAGGTAAGGCACAGGTAAGGGGCAAACGGACACACTTTACTCCTGCCTCGAAAGGGAAGGGAGGAAGTGTGTTACGTAAGGGAAAGGGACCCAGGAAACCGCCACCCTCAATAACGGCCACAGCTGAGGGGAACCTCTCCACAGATCCAAAAGGAAATGTGGAGAGCGGAACCAAGGCACGGTCGCCACCTGGGGACGGCGGTGGGACACCACCCACAGGGGGGGCTGTGTGACACAGGGACTGTTTCAGACACCTGTATCACACCCAGCACAGCGTGCTTTCTTAGGCGTCAACATCAGTTTATCTGAATGGCTGACAATAGAATTCAATTCACGCAAATAAACCTGCATCACAGTAAAGGGGCCAGTAGTGTATTACTAAGGACCCTAACTGAGAGGCATACAACACCCTTACAAATAGCACTTATTCAGGAACCATGGATAAATGGGGACCAGATTAAGGGGCTAAATCTAAGGGATTTTAAACTGTTTCATAAACAAGCAGATAAACCAAGAACTTGCATTTTGGTTAATAATAAAGTTAAAGCCAGCCTGATACTTAATCTATCAAGTGCAGACTTGACTATTATTAGAGTAACACTAAATGATGGTAAAAATATCATAGTAGCTTCAGGATACTTACCATATGAGGTCACAGACCCAGGTAGGGACCTAACTATGCTCTTTAATTATTGCAAAAATGAAAAATTAGAACTAATCCTAGGTATGGATGCTAATGCACACCACACTATTTGGGGGAGCAGTAACATCAACCAAAGAGGAGAGGTTATAATGGATCTATTGCTGACTACAGACCTAAGTATACTGAACAGAGGTAGTGAACCTACTTTTGTTATCAGGAACAGGCAGGAAGTCATTGATCTAACAGTTTGTTCAAAAGGGTTACTTCAAAAGATAAAAGGGTGGAAAGTGTCCTCCGAACCTTCTCTTTCTGATCATAGGCACTTACGATTCACTTTGGAAATTAACAAAGTTGAGACGGAGTACTATAGGAACCCGAAAAGAACAAACTGGGACAAATACAGGGCAGATCTCTCTCGTGACCTGATTAACCTACAGTTTAGATTGGGGTCGAGACAGAGTACTGAAAGGGCTGTAAATATGCTACAGGACTCCATTGTCTCAGCTTACAAAGAAAACTGTCCTTTAATAGAAAGGAAAGGTACAGGGCAGGGTGTAGCTTGGTGGAATGCTAACCTGTCTAAATTAAGAAAGAGTTCACGTAAGCTCTTAAATAAAGCAATGAAATCAGGTTTGGAACAACACTGGGAATCCTATAAGGACGCCCAAAGGAACTACAAATCTGCATTGAAAAAGTCCAAAAGAGAAAGCTGGAAGAAGTTCTGTGGGGATATACAACAACTCCCTATAGCAACTAGACTTCTGCGATCACTAAGGAATGGACCAAACAAAACTGTCGAGGCAATACTACTGCCAGACGGAATGTTCACCAATAATGATAATGAAACATTATCACATTTGATGAATACACATTTTCCTGACTCTACAATTAACAACAGAGAACAGGAACATGACGCACAGGACAAACGAGTGACCTGTGCTGATTGGAGACTAACCAGGAGAGTGATAACCCCAAGTGGAATAAGATGGGCAATAAAAGCCTTTGGCAGTTTTAAAGCTGCAGGCTGTGACGAAATTTTCCCTGCACTTCTGCAAGAAGGGTTAGAGATAATCGTCCCCCATCTCTGCAAAATATTTAGGGCATGCCTTGCCTATGGTTATCAACCAGAAAGCTGGCGTAAGGTTAGGGTAGTGTTTATACCCAAACCTAACCGCACTAACTATTATGAAGCAAAATCCTACAGACCAATAAGTCTTACTTCTTTTCTTCTTAAGACTATGGAGAAACTTATTGATAGGTACATCAAGGAGGGGCCTCTTAAGGAGAACCCTTTACATGAAAACCAACATGCGTATCAAACGGGGAAATCTACTGATACAGCTCTACACTGCTTAACTACTAAGATAGGGAAAGCTGTAGAGAATAAAATGTATGCAGTAGGTATATTCCTGGACATCGAAGGGGCTTTTGACAATACTCCCTTCGATGCTATGTGTGAAT